TTGTTGACGTGGGCTCTCGAGTCTCAACTGTTTTTTTGGCAGTGCTTGATTGACGACAGGGAGCCTCGACTCGGTTGACCGTCTTTCCGGCGAGGTATCAGATATCTGACACCTGCTGAAAACAGTGTTCCGTCCTCACCACAGGACAATCCGGAACCCCCACCGGGAGAAAAAAAAAAAAAAAAAAAAAAAAATCAGGGGGAAGGTGATGAAAAAAAAAACACTGTTGGAATATTCCATGCTATATCCCAATCCTTGTCAGAATGTTCATGGCAGGGGCCACTAATCATGTGCATGCACAGAGTCTGACTCTGAGCTGCAGTGTTCATCCATCCAGGCAAGGGCTCGAACGCCTTTTTTTTCTTTGTTTTCCTTCCTCCCCCCTCCCCCCCCCTCTTTCCCTTACAGGCAACATCATGAAGACATTCCTCTTCTGAATCAGTGAAATGATATAGCACCGTCAGAAAAAAAATGAAATGAAAGAGCACCGTCACGGTAGAGGACTTCCATCACGGTAGAGGACTTGCCATATAGATGACTCTTGTCAATTGGTAGCGACTCGCGAGCTGCACCTGGTCGATAACGGGTTGACAAGTGAATACTGGTAAACGACAACCCATCAGAACTCAAAATGCAAGGTTTCCCTACGGGCCTACGTCCTGTCCAGAGGTTGAACTAGATCTTCTATCTCATCCCAGAAACAAATTTAAACCTTCAAAATTGTCAAGTTAACTGATTTTTGTCTGAGAAGCGCACCCGCGGGTACTTAGTCAAGTGATCAGAGGCCAAATTTAAATGCCTTTCGAGGAAGACTGAGCCGATACCCAAGGACACTTACCCACCCTGACTTCTCTCGACTCTGCGAGTAAGAGATTCGTCCATGCGGACTATGTCTTGACTTCGCTGCGGATACAGGGGACAGCCCTGAAAGAAATGGTACACCTTCTATCCCATCTGGCCACACTGAGCTGATAGCCAAGGACACGTACCCACCCTGACTTCTCTCGACTCTGCGAGTAAGAGATTCGTCCATTCGGACTTGACTACAGGGGGACATCCCTGAAAGAAATGGTACCCCTTCTATCCCATCTGGGCACAAATAAGACCCAAAAGAACCTAGTATTTGTTTGTTTGCTATGTTGAGCATTGGTGATTTCCCAGGTTCTCCCTAGGAAGACGGAACTCTCTGTTCCAGACGTTGGTCTCCCCATAGGTGGGAAACCATGCTATACTAGTCTGCTGACCCAGTCCCAAAAGCCTCTCGCAACCACACATTGCCACCAGAGGAGGAGGGTGGAATCCCCCAGGGTGTGGTGGGCACAAACATCACACACAGGATGTTAAACCACCAGACTAGTAAGTTTCCCAGCCATTTTTCAAAAGTCGTGGCTTGCATGATGACACAACTTTCGGGAGTCGGCAGCCTGAGCAAATGGCTGGGGGCGCCACGCAAATGTCCAGCTAAATTTGCCTCTTTGCAGTGGCAGATAATCCATTGGTGTTTGCCCACAAATGATTGGGTGATTGACCGCTCGACGCTGGAACAACGGGGCTTGGCAGTGCCATGGTGTAAGTCTTGTGTGTCGGCATTTCCTACTAGTTGAAAAATCCGGGAAACCATCTAGCATATCTTTCTACACTGTGCTGGTTCGGTGTTGATATGGCGTAAGTGGGATTGCATTTGGAGGACCATAACAAGTTTAAATTGGCCCTGTGACTGGAGGGCTATTCTTCTAGGCTATTGGGAACCTGCAGGCATACAGTTATCAAACTTTCAGCAAAATTTCTTTATAATTGGACACTGTGGTGCATACGCTGTGTAAGGGAAAGAGAAGAAGTAAGGTTAGAAGGACCTGATATTGTGGAATCAATTGTGGATTTTGTTCAAACAGAGGCTCGGGCACAATGGGACGTCCTCACAATCAAATTATACAAATTTCATTTTAAAAGAGATATAAAGATGGCAATCCAACAATTTGAACAGGACTGGCTGGGAAAATCTGCTGGGGGGGGGCCTGGGTGAAGTGAAGTGGCCAGGGGGGGAGGGGGCAGAGGAGCCTTTCAAAAAGGATTTTCGACTCTTATTCCGAGACTGGTTCAAACTTCAGCCAGGAGCTTTT